CGGGCCCTCGGACCGTGTCCGAAGTGCCCGACCGGTCAGTCCGCCCCTGCATATAAACTCTCCCTATAACTCCTCCTATTACTCCATATAACCCTCCCTATAACTCCTCCTATTACTCCATATAAACTCTCCCTATAACTCCTCCTATTACTCCATATAACCCTCCCTATAACCCCTCCTATTACTCCATAGAGTATCCCTATAACTCCTCCTATATAACCCTCCTTATAACCTTCCTTATAAAGCCTTCTATTACTCCATATAACCTCCATATTACCTTTCCTGTTACTCCATATAATCCTCCCTAGAACTCCTCCTATTACTCCCTATAACTCCTCCTATACAACCTTCCTTATAACCTTCCTTATAACCCCTCCTATTACTCCATATAACCCTCATTATAACTCCTCCTATTACTCCATATAACCCTCCCTATAACCCCTCCTATTACTCCATATAACCCTCCCTATAACTCCTCCTATTACTCCATATAATCCTTCCTATAACTCCTCCTATTACTCCATATAACCCTCTCTATAACTCCTATTACTCCATATTACCCTCCCTATAACTCCTCCTATTACTCCATATAACCCTCACTATAACTCCTACTATTACTCCCTATAACTCCTCCTATTACTCCATATAATCCTTCCTATAACTCCTCCTATTACTCCATAGAGTCTCCCTATAACTCCTCCTATACAACCTTCCTTATAACCTTCCTTATAAATCCTTCTATTACTCCATATAACCCTCCCTATATCCCCTCCTATTACTCCATTTAACCTCCCTATAACTTTTCCTGTTACTCCATATAACCTTCCTTATAAATCCTTCTATTACTCCATATAACCCTCCCTAGAACTCCTCCTATTACTCAATGTAACCCTGTTTATAAATCACTTTATTACTCCATGTAACCCTCTTTATAACTCCTGCTATTACTCAATATCACTGCCTATACCTCCTCCTAATAGTCTATATTACCCCTCCTATTATTCAATATAGCGTCTCTATAATACCTCCTATTACTCCACATATTCCTCCCTATAACACCTCTTATTACTTAATATTACCCCTCATATTACTCCTAATAACCCTCCATATAACTCCTCCTATTACTACATTTAACCCTTACTATAAGCCCTACTATTACTCCATATAACTCCTCCCATTACTCCATGTACCCCTCTTATTATTTAATGACTCCATTTAAGTCATTGGATAATATAGTTAATAAAAATACTGAATTACTGTTTGATATCTGTCTCCCCCTATTGGACATTAAGTGAACTGCACGTTTATCTTTTGACTTGTAAATAATTAGAGGGTTAAATCAAGCAATGTTTCTATTTCTCCTCTTGATTTGCAATGTTTGCAGTGGCCATGCTTTGTCTGAATGGGGTTATGTTGTAATTTTCTAAATCTTTAACACAAATGTACAAAAAAATGAAGCATCATATGAAAAAAGGCTAACACAAGTTATAGGTTGTATACTCGCAGGGGACCAGAGTGTCACGGCCAAGGACTTCCTTCCCCACCGCCAGGGACTTCCTTTCCGCCTTAGTGATTAGCTCCCAAGTGAATATAGCTCACCCTTGGGTTGCAGGTTCAAATCCCGCCAGGATTTATTCAGCCCTTCATCCTTCTGAGGTAGATAAAATGAGTACCATTAAATTGGGTAATAGTAACAACCCCTGGATGTTGGGCTAAGGTAAAATCCCCAGGACGTACTTGAAAACCAGAGTAATCTTAATGTACCTTTCCTGGTTAAATACTTTGCTATTATTGCTATTATCATCCTTTATCATTAGCCGAGGGTTAATGTAAGGGTGAAATAAGGGTTCTTTATGGGAGTGCAATGACATTTCACAACACCTAGCGCTTGGGTGTCTGTACCTAAAGAGTTAACTTTATTAACGGCCACACACCTCAGTGTCATACAACAATTCATCCCTAAAACATAGGTACCCATATCCCCAAATGAGTGCCTCCCCCAAATATCTGTTTTCGAGACATTTTCAATATAAAAAGTGATCAGATTGGAGGTGCCTAGTCTAGAATAGTCAGCATGATGAGTTTTGACCAGGCTGTGAGCATCCTCCAATCGATGCAGAATTCTATAGTGCTAAGTGGAAAGTCCTGGTCACCTTTGATGACTGTGCTCTTTGTTGGATACATGGAGCTCCCCCAAGTCCTGGGTGTTGTTTAAAGCTTCACCACCTCCTCTATCACACATCCAAAGAGTGCTCTGTTTGATGGTCTTGAAATCAAAGACTTCAATGAAGTTTGACCAGATTGCCGCAACTCCGTACTCCGATCTGGAGATCCAGCAGGTCATTTAATGCATAACGCACCCACTGCCCATGCATCTTGCTGACCATGAACTCTTACCCACAGTGCATCTTACTGAACATTAACTTTTACCCTCAATGCATCCTACTGACCATGCACTCCTACCCACAATGAGTAATGAATTCGTTTTTGTGTACATCATGCCCCTGCAGTCTCAATGCTCAATTATCTGCCCTTTAGGAGTTAAATAACTTTGTTTCTGTTCAAGCAGCCCTAGCCACACCTGTCCTACTAGCTATAGTACAGCTAGGATACCCTTGTTCCCACAAAACGAGTCGAGGCTGCGATTTGAGGGTCAAAATGAACTGGGTTTAATGGCACACAGGCATCACTATTTATGCAAAACCCCAGGTCCAGGGACAGCCCCCTCTGGACCTGATGGGATACAGGGACAATACAAACAGTTGACCAATGCCATTATAGTGTATCGTTTGAAATGGTCACCGCCCAGCTTGGAGATAATGACTCTAACGGTTATGGCAATTTAATTATCTCCAAGTGCCCAAAATCCCACGTGTTATTGTAACAGGTAAAACAGTATAAAAATACATAATTGTAACATTTTAATAGACACATTTTATATTCTAACATTCGTTGGATAGCCCAGATCTGAGCGCAGCAGATAGGCGAATAGCGCTCAGATCTCACGAACGGTATAGCCAGTTTTTGTCCCGAACATGGCAGCCATGTTTTCTGTCAGGTGAATAGAGAGCGGGACCTGGCCCTAAAACCCCTGGAGCGAGTAACGGATAAACAGTTGCGCAAATACCGCTCAGTGGATGGTTGTCCCAGCCCTTCGTGAGCCGAACCGAGACCGCCATGAAGGGGGGTACTTAGCTTGCGGTTAACTGCAGACCCAATGTTCTAATTGGGGCCACACGACTGAGTGTAGGTGGTCCTCATTCGAGAATCTTTCCGGAGTTTCAGTTCGGTGAATTATTATCCGAACGAGGCCACCCTGAGGCAGTCAATTAGTCTTGTGGTTAACCGCAGACCGCAGCTTTCCGGTGGTCAATTGGAAGCACACTCCGCTTGTAAGGTGGTCGGCAGTTCGGTTGTTTCAGAGGTGAAAGAGGTTAAGTGGCGGCACACGCCAAGGACCGGGTGGTCTTTGTTCGTATGCACGAATACATAGTCCTGACTGTTCGTATAATGTGTTTATACAGTAATACTACCGAAACAGAGTATACGGTAAAATAAAAAAGGGTAATCCAGTAACAATCTGTAGAGTGCCCGTAACAGCCTGTATGAAAATAATGGTTTCACTTTCAATCAGATCTTACAGCACAGTGTGGTTTTTTTTTTCTTCTTTTTAATCTCTTGCTATGTTAAATAAACTTGAGCTACGCACAGGAGGCTCCAACAAGCTATTAAACAGAGCAGGAGATAAAAAAAAATTTAAATGAGTTATGAAGTGCAATAAAGTAAGTGTAAACATTAGATGGCTCTTTACAGGAAGTGTTTAGGAAGGCTGCTTAAGTCACATGCAGGAAGGTGTGGCTAGGGCTGTATAAACAAGGTGAGACTGCAGGGACATGATCTATAGGCCCAAACTGCTTCATTAAGCTAAATTCTGTGTAAATAAGATACATTGGCCTCGATTTAAAAAGCTTTGCAAATGATTCGATACTGTAAGATAAACTTTCCAAATGATTTATCTACAAAAATGTCCAGACTTTAATAGTGGCTTCTGTAGATATCATTGGAACATTTTTCTAACACTATTGAATGATTTCAGAATATTAAATTAAGGCCATAGTTATTGTTCTAAATTACATTTTAGTTGTATAAATTGCTATTATTAAGTTGCCTTACATTTCTCAAAATAGCCCACCCTGGTCTCCCACTCCTAACATTAAATCCATTTGGTCTATTTGAAATGCTGGCGAGATATGCATTAACCTAAATCTAGATTAGGGATGGGATGATTCAGAGGGAGGTTAATTCATCACATAATACGTAATTAACAAAGGTCAAAAAGCCCACAAACAGAGAAAAAAAGCTGTGACTGCGAAGTTAGGAGAGTGGCTTCAACAGATTCCAGGTGGGACATCTGAGATCGCTGTTCTAGGAACAGCTAAGATACTGCACAGAACCCTCAGACTCCCGGGCCTCTGGTAGAGGACCCAGAGAATGAGGTGTATATACCATTCAGGAGGGGGGAGAAAAAATTATATGTGTGTGTGCTAAAAGGCTCAGTTTTATTTTTATATGTATACTTTTGATAGTAAACGTCCATATCACAAGAAAGGAACAATTAGGCATGTTTTAAGATTTTAAGAAAGGAGGTTTCAGTGTGTGTTTGTAACAGAGGGCCATGTTTTATGATTGGAAGACAGGAGGTTTCAGCAGAAGAAGTGTTGATGATTGAATGCAATGGCTCATTGTAATAAACTTCTGTGTCGTTTGCTGTCTTTATTACGCACAGTTTTAATTTAATGGTGATTGAGCTGGGAAGACTCTGTGTCTCTGTGTTAGATGTTTACTGGGCTTTGTCCGTGACCTTTCATTAAACCTATGCTAACCACTCTGCTATTTTGTGTCCTTGTTTTGTTATCTGTGTATTTACAGATTTTGGTGGCAGTTATCGGCTCGGCCGGTCTGCTTCCACTTCAGGAGTCCGTCAAACATCTATCCAAAGGCAAAATCAGGTATCAAACGCACCTAGACGATTCTTTCAGTTTATTACTTTTAACTACTGGTAGCAATGTATAGAACCCATGGAGTCCATTGAACCGTTACTTAACATGTCAGGATAAATCCCAGATTCAATGTCCCCAAAGCTTGCTCATTCTTAGTCACCCTCTGCATGTAGCCAGCTAATCTCATATGATCTGTTTATTGACAGGATCGCTTTTCCATAGCATTCTAGGAACTAACATCAGCCATTTGGGAGAAAGCCATGTCTAATGCAAGAATCGGTAAAAGGTCACCAAGGAGGGTTAAATAGTGCGCTGAGGGTGCCCCCACCCTCAGGGACCTCATCCCGCCAGGCTCTAGGGAGAGGAAGGGGTTAAAATCTTACCTTTCTCCGGCGCCGGGCAGAGAGCTCTCCTCCTCCTCTGCTTCTTCCTAGCAACGTCATCGGCTGAATGCGCATGCGTGGCAGGAGCTGCGCGCGCATTCAGCCAGTCTCATAGGAAAGCATTCATAATGCTTTCCTATGGACGCTGGCGTCTTCTCACTGTGATTTTCACAGTGAGAAGCACGCAAGCGCCTCTAGCGGCTGTCAATGAGACAGCCACTAGAGGCTCTAGAGGCTGGATTCTCTGAAACTGCTATGTTTATTAAAAAAATGGGTTAATCCGAGCTGGACCAGACACCCAGACCACTTCATTAAGCCGAGGTGGTCTGGGTGCCTATAGTGGTCCTTTAATCAAGATACCAACTCCCAATATAGCATCATACTGCAGGCAGGAGATAAGGCCTTCTGTGCCTCCATTAACTAAATCGTGAAGAATAGTAGGAGTATAATAGGAGACGTTCCATATGATGCACGCCCAGCTTCCGTTACACATTGTGCAGCTCTGGGATATCTGTCTGTTTTCTTCCATTCAAGTAGAGGAGGGACGTGACATGTTCCGACTTCCATTAGAAAATACATTTACTAATAACATACCATGGCCACTTTCCTAAAACACTGAAATATGTCACCCTTCCTTTAATATACATGAATATATAAAAAGTTATTAAAGACTGTGATTTTACAGACTGTAATAATATAGACTGTAATAATATAGACTGTTATAATATAGACTGTGATATTATAGACTGTGAATTTATAGACTGTGAATTTATAGACTGTGATATAGGATGTGAGATTATAGACTGTGATATAGGATGTGAGATTATAGACTGTAAAATAGTCTGTGATTTTATAGTCTGTGATTTTATAGTCTGTGGTTTTATAGTCTGTGGTATTATCGACTGTGATATTATGGACCGTGATATAGGATGTGATATTATAGTCTGTGATTTTATAGACTGTGAAATTATAGTCTGTGATTTCATAGACTGTGGTATTATAGTCTGTGTTATAGGATATGATATTATAGTCTGTGATATTATAGTCTGTGATTTTATAAACTGTAATATAGAATGTGATATTATATACATGTGTAAATATGGATATCAGTATCTGTAGTATATACCATTGTATTAAACCAGAATATGTAGACAGAGCTCTCATATATATATTTAAAGTCAGGCTCAAAATATAGAAGGAGCGTTCATCCCATGCTGTGTCTCAGTGATAGGTGATAATAATTAGACGCTGGACATGCTATGTCCAAGTGACAAGTCCTGTGGTCTGTACAAATGACTAATCTTGGCTGCATGCAGTAAAGTGGTCTAAAAAGACCTTGTTAGCAGTGAAGGATAGTTGGAATGAATAGTCCAGGTGGTAAGGATAGTAGCGATGTCTTAAAGGATACATTGTAACGAGTATAAGATAAACTTAGATACCAAAGCGAAAATAAAGTTATATAAATGGCCAAACAGTATGGCAGTGTTGGAACAGTTTCTAAGTTGTGCACAGTGATACTACGCTCTTGTTACGGTTGCCTCCAGGCTAGCTGAAGGTTGGACCGCTTCGATGTCTTGATTCCCGATCTTGGAGAGCAAGAGCGAAGCTCCAAACAATATCCAGCAATAATCCTGTAAGTGTAGATATCCCGCTAGCCAATAATAAGCTAGTATAACGCTTTTCCCTACAACACGAGTCGAGGCTGCGAGTTGAGGGTAAGAAGAACTGGTTTAATGAGCATTCATGCACGGCTTAAATACATATTTTCAGGCCAGAAGAACACCCCTCTGGACCTGATGCTACACAGGATTACAAAGTGTAACAGCCAATAGAAACAAAGTGCATTTTCCAAAACACTCCCTCAACGGTTACAGTAACTCAATTATCTCCAGGTACATGAAATAATATCACTTTTATAGATGCACGAAAACTGAATAAAAATGTATAACTTTTACATCATAGTCTTTAAATACCACATTCAACCCATCCCTAGACAGCTTGGATCTGAGCGCACAAAATATACGAAAAGTGCTCAGATCCCACTAACGGTATGCAAATGCCATGGGGATGAAAATTGTCTGTAGGGCTGTTCGACAAGTAGCAGCCTATGTATTCTCGGCCATAGCATCCTGCAAGGGGTCAGTGTATCATTCGTAGGGGCAAAGTATCGAACGGCATGTGCTTCGGTGTTTTATACACGAACGGACGGGGCAAGATGGATCCCACCAGGGTTCATGCAGAATAGTGTCCGAAAAGAGTACCAGGCGTTTGACGACAAGGTCCTGCTGTGCGTTCGACAATAAAAGATGGCCGCTGCCACGTGTTCGTGCATACGAACGATGACCACCCGGTCAATGAGCAATTAGGTTGCGGTTAACCACAAGCCGCAGCTTCAGGGTGGTTAACTAGGGGCACACACCTCAGGTAGGGTGGTTGGTCGTTCGGTAGTTGGTTCAACATGAAGTTCGGTGTCCCGTTCGACCTTCTCATACGAACGGTGACCACCCGTTGAAGATCCATAAGGCTCCGGTTAACCACAAAACCGCAACTCCTTGTAGTTAGTTGTAGGCACACTCCTCAGGTATGGTGGTCGTCCGTTCGACAGTGTGTTCGGTATTTAGAGGGGTGAACAGGGTTAATTGGCGGCACACACTAGGGGCCGGATGGTCGGCGATTCGTATGTACGAATGGCCTGCAATAGTTGTTCAGGCAAAAGCAACAAAATAGCAACAAAGTAACAGGGTTGTAGCAGACAGAGGGGATTTTTGTAACATGGCTCCCTCCTTGCAGAACACTCTGGCAGACACGGTTTGACCCCTTTTCAGGGCAACTTAAGGCTGTATAGAACCAAAGTTATTCTGGGCTGAGGTCTGTCTGCCTCGATAACCCATCGGTGTTGCCATTTTGCTTCCCCGGTCTGTAAGAGATGGTGAAGTTAAATGGCTCTAGTGACAGGCTCTCCTCCTTGCAGAACACTCTAGCTTTTCTGGCTCTGCCCAGAAAAGCTAGGACCAGGGTCTTGGTGTGGGGTGTGGGGTATGGGCCAGTCCACAACTGCCTCTATCTTGGCTGGCTCTGGACATTGCTTTCCACACCCCACCCAGTTACCCAGATACCGAACTTCTGCCATCCCAAATAGCATTTCTCTGAATCTGATCCAGGACTGTCCCCACTTGAGCTAAGTGCTCCTCTCAGGACTCACTGTAGATCGCTATGTCATCCAGGTGTAGCCCGTGAAGTTACACAGGCTGCATTATCTGAAATGCCCAGTAGATGGCACATGGACTCAGTATGCTGTTAATAAAACATTGAGCTCTGATCACATGACTTGCTGAAATCAGGAGATGAGTGTGGCATCATCGCAGGGCCTGTCAGGACTTCCTGCACAGCTCTGAGGGAGGAGGATTTTAAGAGTGACCACATGCTGAGCCAGAGAAAGGACATGTGAGAGACTGTAGCACAGAGATAGGACCTGGCTGAGAGAACTTGTTTCACCCAAGATCACACCAGCTGAGAGAGGGACCTGCAGAAAAGAAAGAAGACAAGCACTGAGTCCAGACGTCTGGCGAATCCAGTGAGAGGAGACTGCTGCTGACTGACCTGGTTAATCGTGTTGTGAGGGTAAGCCAAGCCTCTCCCTGTATCACCACAGGGCACCTGTCTCCTCACTCACAGTAAAGACTCTGAGGTCCCGTGACGGACATTACACATCTGAGGCTGCTTCAGTGACCCTGCGGAGCAGGACTTATAAGGGCCCCAACTCTCCTATGTGCACCAACGGCCGCTAGGGCGAAGATAAGGGGGTGGGGCGCAGGTGTGCTGGTGGGTGAGTGAGGAAAATCCACATTTGCATTGTTATCTGTGTTACTCTATTGTATTTTCCTATGTATGTTTGTTCAATTGCTACTTACCATATAAAGTTAGTTCCAGTTAGACTGTGTCAGTCTCATTGCACCAAGTATGTTCCCAGTGGGACCCCACATCCCTACCCCGGATGCTCCACTGGGTGGAGGCACTGCCGCAGACATGTACCCCAGCTCCCAGATAGCGGAGGCTCAGGATCCGCCTGTCAGGCATAGTGAGTTAACTAGGTTTGGGGACCCCAAAGACACTAGGGGGCACCCCCAAAACCCCGTTACACAGGTATGCACAAGCAAAGTCCTGGAAGCCATCAAGGAGTCTATCCACCAAGCGCTGGAACGTGGCTGGTATTTTTCATCCCGAACGGCATAACCTTAAATTGGTACAAGCCAAATGGGGTGACAAATGCTGACTTGGCCTCCCTGGCCAGGGGAATTTGCCAATAACACTTACTGAGGTCAATGGTAGTTACGTAATTCTAAACACCGCTGGACTTCCATCATCGCCTGTGTTCGGTTCTACACAAGTTAGAAGGGCACTGTTCGGTGGAATCGTTCATCTGAACAAGGGAAACAAGCTCCAGGGTAAGACCACTGACTATGTTCGGTAGTTTGTTCATTTTTAAACCAAACTAGACCGACCACTAGTCCTGATACTATGGAATTGTTTTGGGCATGGGACCATGCGGGCGGTCGGTCAAACAAATGACTTCCAGGAAATTCCTGAAACCCTGAACTCAGGGCTATCAGGGGATGTGTTGTTTTATGTATTTTTATGGTACTTTTGGGGTGTTTTGGAAAAAGTATGTTTTTTCTGTGCTTGGAGATAATTGGATTAGGTTAGTACAGTTCCTGATCCAATTAACAGAGAAGGGATTATCTAATTTTGTATGGCGGGTCACCCCCACGGTCACCCACCACAGACACCTGGAAAAGCTGTCTCCACTTTACCAACAACCCCTCCAGCTTCAATAAGCCCATATCACACTTAGTGTATTATTGAGGAGCTGTTTGTATGATACATTAGGTACCACGTCAGTACCCTCTGTTCCTTTTTGTTGCCTATGGTAGTCTAGGCCATGTATTGGTCCCTACTACCTAAACTGCCTCGCAGGCCTCCACATTGTCAATCACTGCTGTTTCCCTGTATCTCTACAACACAGGCACACCGACCTTATCCTTTAGGGGGCTCGGCTCTCACTAGGTAGCACCAACCACCACGATAATACTACCTCCTTTTTGAATGCTTAATCTAACTCAACTGTATCTATGCCACTGATGGAAACTACTCTCCTAATAATTTAATAATCTGGTTCTATTTTACACTTGACTCTTACCATTTAAAAATGTGCAGTTATTAAAAATGCCATATTGATGTTATGTTTTGTTGCCATTGGGCTTGTTTTGGCTATCATGGCTATTCAAGCTGGATGTAATGCTCGCACAACAAAAATAAAGAATATAAAAAAACAAAAAACAAGCAAAGTTTAAACGGATTCCCAAACTGTGGAAGAGAATGGCTCCTGAGAAGGCAAAATAGGGGTTTTGTCACATGGTCAATATTGTCTTATGAAGACATTCAATCCACTTGGAGCTTTTTGGTGCTTCTAAAATGGACACAAGTCCTGTAAAGCTACCTTATATGTAGATGTTCAAGAGGCAGTACAAGAATAGTTTAGAAGATGGTTTCAAGTGAGATAAGGGTACTAGTCAAGGTAATCCCACCATATGTGCATTTAAAGGATTATATTCCCAATGAGAATGATAGACACCGGCTTCCGACCAGGTATGGGTGTGTAAGTATCCACACGAGGGCAGCAAGAGAGACAATTCTTGTTTGTTTTTTTCGTATATAACAGCAAGGTTCTCTCTGCTCACTCATGTAAAATATTAATTCATAGAGTCATAGTATATATTTTATTTATAATGTTTTACCTGGAAGAGTGCAGTTTTTCCACAGGAAATCCAAACTGCGTATAAAGGGGAAAGTCATAGGTGTAAAAAAGATGACGTTTGACACTTTACGTGGTATTCTGTCTAGATTTGGGATGATGAAGACGAAGAAAATTTGGGAATGGGACTGATGAAGTTTATGCAGCTATATAAATGGTTCAATAAAGTGATCCCAGTGATCTTAATCTTAATGGATAACAATCAGGTCTTTAGGTATACTAGTCCAAAAGGGACAGATCCACTCAATTAATTAGATCTGTTTGGAAAGTCTTATTTTATATAAGTAGGACTTTCTACCAGTTTCTGAGAGAAGAGTATAAATAGTATGTACTATAAAAATGATTTCTAGAAGTGCACAAAAAATAAATTTAGATTGATAACTAAGTGTTACAGAACTGAACGAGAAAAAAAAAATATTGCTATCCAACTCCATTTTAAATGTATTATTTGTTTTATAATCTCTCACCTTTTCCATATCCACAGGCCATACATCCTCCTTCCACTCCAGTCCCCACCGGCAGCCGAGAAAGGGATGGGAAATTGCAGGAGGTGATCGAGCGAAAACGTTTCCTTTGCCATGAGATCAAATCCAGGCAACCCAGGGCTGAGCGGGGTTTATGCAAGCAGGAAAGTTTGCCCATCCTGCCAAGCTGGCGTCGTGGCTCTGATGGACGCAAAGGGGGCACTCCACCATGCCACCGGCAGCAGGCCGTGCTGTGGGATACTGCCATCTGATATCACTTGCCCCCTACCTCAACCTGGGGACGCTGGACGAAACCCTGAGGAAAGGGGTAGTAGGGGGAGAAAAGCTGTAAAGGGAAGCAGGAGGTGAGGAGCTCCATAGAAAAACAGAGATAATAGTTAAGGGAGGACATATATCCTGCAAGGGCTAGGGAAGCTCCTGTAGTGAAAAGTAAGTTGTTCTACCAGGACTAGAGATTAGTTCAGTTGGGTAGTGGGTAAACTGTGAGGGAGTAGGGAGAGATCGGCAAGTCAGTAAATTCTTCTTTAAGAATTGATAGTGTGCATAGAAACAAACAGGGTCGTCTTTGTGGTGGAAGGGATACATTCTTCTAGAGCATAGAAGTCCCGTTAGTAAGAAGAGAGGAGAATACTCAGTGGTCTATACGTGGAGATATCCTGCAAGCATAGGGTCACTGTAAGTCAATAGACCGTACAGGAAGAGTTGTGCATGGCCAGTAAATGAATAAACAATATACAGGATGAACTAACAGGGATATAGGCATATGTTTCAGTGGAGAAGGATGTGGGACTCAGCAAAATAGTCAAGGGCTAATGCAACAATGATACGCAGAGCAACCCTTACTGGGTGTATTAATATGCTCATCTTTTCTGATTAAAACAAAAGGGGGCAGTAATGGGTAGGATTCATGTTCTAGGAGTGCAGGACAAAAGGACTTATGGCAATACTCAACATGTCTTTTGCATAACTGTCTGCAGTCTTGCGATGTCAAAGCTCAGTGGGTCTCTCATGGGATAAAGGTGTCAGCACATTGTATGGTTTATTACTTAGTAAAATAGTTAATTAATCTACTTAATGGTTAAGGTGATGTAACTGAGGCATAATGTCCTACTTGATCCTTGACATATAGTATGGATGGAACTTACCATATAGCACTGTGACCATAATCCTGACATTACCTCATTACAGGACGACCTACAAAACTGCTTTCTAGTCCAAGATTCTCCCTAAGAATTAATGGTGGAAATATCCACCAGTTCTAATAATTAACTGAGATAATTTACAAAGCAACATCCAATTCAATGACAAGTCTCCGACTGGTCGGTCGATAGGAAGGGGCACAGCAGTAAAAGAATGAGCATTATGGTCTGTGCAGGACAACCCAAGACTGCTGTAATACAGGCCAGCAATAGTTCTGAACACAAAGTACAAACCCATCAATCTAGAGCACTGTTCCCCAACCCAGTCCTCGTGGACCACCAACAGTCCAGGATTTATGTATTTCCCTGTTTTATTCCAATGGAGATACTGGCAAAACCTGGACTGTTGGTGGTCCTTGCGTACTGGGTTCCGGGTCAGATCAGGAAGCAGATAAGTCATAAGTCTATCTCATCAAAGAGAGTCATTGTCTGTCCAGCAGAGGGCAGTATGTTTCAGCAGCAAACCAAGATGAAGCCAAAACGAATTCCAGATATTAAAGCCAGAAAAGCAGCCAGCTCAAAATTAACAAACCAAAATACTGGGTTTCAAAAGTACATACAGCATTTTACAAACACTGATAAAATCACAGCTTAACATGGAAAATGGAATTACACATTTAGAGTAATATAGTTTACATTTTGAGAAATTATTTGTAACTCTTCTAGTGAACGCACTGTTCTAATGCCAAATAAGTGTTGTAATATCTAGGCATTGTTGAATCCCAAGACACCCTACTCATTTAATAGGGTAAGCCTGGGTGCCATTAGGGGCATTGACACTATAATAATCCTATATATGGCTATCACTGTATGTCTGCCCATCAGATTGTTTATTCATTAATCCATTTGTATCTGTCTATTGTTTCTTTATCATTTAAGTGTAGAAGTTATTTGTAGCAAATTAGCTTCTATATTTGAGAATGCAGTTATCCACACATTCTGAACCTTGCATTTAATGGACGGATTTGTGGCTCTGGAGCTGGATACATCAGACAGCTGTATATCATTTTGCAATGCAAGCTGCCGCTCCCAAATGCCTAGTCCATACAGACAACCATTTCTTCCATCATCTTGGTCCATGTAGAGAGTCATTCTGTCTTTTGAAAGTTATGTCTGAAGAGGGCAACAGTTTCCATAACCCAATGTCTTGCATAGAGCATCATTAACCATTAAATAACACTATACAAAGAGAATCAGGGACATGCAAATGGTCCTGAACATATTGTGATATATATTTTACAATAGATGTAGGACTTTAAGAATTTTTTATCAGGATCAATGTAGAAATTACATGAAGAAAGGCTCAGGTTACAGACTAGCAGAAATAACTTGTATAAATAACACATGTGGTTTGATAATATTTGTTGAGCTGGGCCTGAATGTAACATGAAAATAGAATCTCTCTAAAATCAGACTGTCTGACTTGTGTGGGCCACAGTTTGTTGGTAGATATTCCCAGTTTACATATCCATTATCCATAAAGGCCTTGGTAGCGTGATGATAGTTGCTTCTATCAGAATAACACCAGGTGCTACCTAACTGTATGTCTTGTTAACCCAGTACTGCATTTTCCATCCTACTTTTCTCAGATTCCAAGTTCATCCAGACCCATATTCCAAGTTCATCCAGTCCCATATTCCAAGTTCATCCAGTCCCATATTCCAAGTTCATCTAATCTTTGGTTCCAAGTTCATTCAATCTTCAATTCCAAGAACATTCAATCTTTGTATCCAAGTTGATTCCAAGTACATTCGATCCTTGATTCCAAGTTGATTCCAAGTTCATTCAGTCTTTGATTCCAAGTTCATCCAGTCCCATATTCCACGTTCATCCAGTCCTTGTCAGGGTTGGCAAGAGGATCCACAGCAAGATGAAAGGCAGCGACCTAACAAAGGAAAAGACAGAGTGATAGGAAGAGGAGTATTACCGGATCTTATAGTGGCCGTGCTTAAAGTAAAGCAAAGAACCAGGAAATAACCCAACTAACTAGATATATAGTTCAGGACAGAGATGAACAACAAAAAAAATCTGAAAATAAACAAAAATGTGCACCATACAAAAAAAATACAGGCTGGTAAAGGAACAAACGTAGTAAAAACAGGCCAAAGTCAGGATTACGTACTGGAAGAGGTAGACAAACAAGCTATGTCTGGTAGACGAACAGGGTAATCAAACAATACAAGTCTGCAGGAGATTAAGAATTGTCAAAGGATAAACTGGGTCAAAAACCAGAAACAAGATCAGAACAAACACAACAAAAGCTCATGAACCACAAAAGGGCCCAGAACAGCCAGAGAGCTCTCTTTAAATAGGAATGTCCTGCACATGCTCCCTGGGAGTAATCAACAAGAAGGGCAGCACCTGTGTTACCCACAGTTGCCCTACAATATAAACAATAATGGGATGAGAAATTACCGGTACACCTTCTAAAATTTTCCCAGGAGAGCAGGTTCCACTGTGGCACGGAATGCGATGTGCAGAGTCCGCAAGTGGGAGACAGGTGTTCAAGTCCCATGGGAGGTAGGATTTGTAAGCCTTATTCCAAATTCATACAGTACCAAATCCCAAGTATATCCCATCGCAGATTACAATTTCATACAGTCCCAGATCCCAAGTATATCCCAGATTACAAATTTTTACCAGATTTTATGTCCAGATACCAATTGAATTTAGACATGGGTGCTAAGATTCCAAATACCAAATACACTCAGTATCATATGCTAAGGTTAGATATGCCTGTCCAAGATTCTAATATTTGAGATACCATGTCTGTCCAGTTCTATTGCATAATAGATGCCTCCTCATTCATTCATGTATGAGGTGCCTTGAACCATGTTTGTTTGCTCATATCAGTATAAGCTTTATCACTTTTATATAACCCTATATATAGGATTGTATTATCCCATCAGAGACCTATTAGAAAACCAGAAAAACAAACATAGCTAAGTACTGCTGTACAAAAAGGACAATATGAACATTAAGCTAATTTTCAAACTTTTGGGAAAAATTCTGCATTTTTATTAAAGGAATAATATTCACATCCACCAAGAGTTCCTTCAGAAACATATACCAATAACATTTAACTTTTTAGGGTAATTTTCTGAAACTGTACTAAGAAAATTTCAAATATATACCCATGTATATTAACATGTTTTGTACATAGGTGGAACTGGCAATGGATTTAAGATTGTAATTTCATTTTCATAATTGAATTTAATTATTTTGTAATTTATTTACATTTTATATATAGAAATTATTGTTGTGTTGCAATTGGCCTTATTTTGAACAATTTGCTTAAATTGTGAATGTTATTTGGAAAACAAAATCATACTATTTTATTTTAATTATTCTTTTTTTTATTTTATTTATTTATTGTTAAACTATATGTTTCTTAACGTTGACATGTTTTCCATACTGGTAACTGAATTCAAAAAATACTTTATTTATTATTTATTTTATTCCATTTTAAAGTAATTTTTTTAAGGAATATTTCCTATATTTTAGATCCTTGGAAAAGCTTGAAAAATAATTAAAAGTTAAAACTGGATCTCTCTCCCTTTTTTTTACAACAGCTTTTTGTTTTGTTTGGTGGGTTTTGTTGTAAGATATCTTTTATTAAGCTTTTTTACCTTCAAATTATTCTTTATCTCAACCCGCAAATTGCAATTTTTTTTTTAATGTAATATAAGTTACCTTTTTATGCCAAATGTGATATAAGTTAAGTTTGAGATGCATTTTATTTTATATTTTTCAGCTATTTAGTCTCATTTAATGCTGAATCTTAAAGAATGTATTAATCTTTATGCACCTTGTATTATCATGTCAACATCTTCATTCTGAATGTAACTTTAAGTATATTATTTTGCAATTTATTTTAAAGTTTTAATAAATAACTTTTTATAACTATTACAATTTTTCTCCTACAGTTCGATATTATTATATTTAACGTATCTCACTTATTACCCATTTAAGCAACTTCTGCTTATGGCAAACAATAATGTTGCTGATTCTTGTAATTTAGCCTTTTTTATTGTTTGTTTGTTGTTTTTTTTATAATTTGCTTGATTTTCATCATTTGATCATGATTGTGATAGAGAGAAAAATGCACCATTAGGGGCCAAAATCGATGAATGTGATAATGGGTAAAGAAATAAAATACAGTTTTACAGATACTACGCATTCTTCATTGCTCCATATCAAATGTTTTATTTCAGGCACAAAGTTGTGTTTTAGATCACGGCATATTTCTACATACCCACACAGCTGTTATTTTAAGTAGAAGATTGTAGGCTTACACAAATTGTCACTTTTCATTCACATACTTTCAAAGACTGCAAGAACAGGAAGCTGGTCAAGAGCTGTGATGGACGTTCCGCAACATGCAATTTTTTTAGAAGAATAAATTAGATTATGAAAAGATATAGATAGAAGGGGTACTATAGATGTAAAGATGAGCTAGGTGATATAGGATCACAACCAGTTGGTAATTCAGTTTATATTCTGGGATGACAACAGAACACAACAATGTGACAAAGGACAAGGTTTAGGAAGGCAGGGACAGGAGAAGAACATAATTTGGAATTCAGAAACACGTATTGAATGAAGACAGGAGCAAGGGCAGGATTTAGGCTGGAATAGAATTTGGATAAAAATTACCAATAACGGGGGGCGTGGTCTGGATGCTGACCGTGATGGCCGCGCAGTTCCAGAGCTCCACACAATCCACTCACAATCAGGGCCGTCTTTAAGGAGGGGCAAAAGGGGCAGCTGCCCCGGGCCCAGTTACTCCTGGGGGCCATAAGGCAGCTGCCCCATGGGCCCCCTGCAACACCTGAGGTAATCAAGGGCCACAGCCCTTTAATACTGCTCTGGACCGGGCCCTTGTAATATGGGGGTTGGCTGAATACAAACACACAGCTAGCCCCTCACACACTGCCCTGGGATCCCTTTTCTTCTCCATGGCATGCTGGGAGGCAGCGAGGTCAGATCACTTCCTCCTCAGTGCCGCTGGGGAGGAGGCACACACCACACGGAGGAGGATGCAAGCATTGTTGGGGAGAGGGACTGAGAAAGCTGATGGCAGACTTCCATCAGCCTGGGCCAACAAGCTCCCACTGGACCCCAGGGAAGCCACCTTTCTGTACCCAAAAGGTAAGGAGACAGGAGGGTGGCTAAATATGTTTTGTTTTTTTGTTTTGCTAATTTCTGATATCACTTTTATTTAAGTGTGTTGGTGTTTGTAATGTAACACACAGGGAATAAGTACATGTTAAAAATCCTAGAAGAACCTGACAGTTCCCTATTAAATATAAATTTTAAAAAGTATTTATTTTAACATATTATTGCATCAAGTGTTATCAAAGGCTGTATACCATTTCCAAATGTCACTTTTGCCAAATTCTGGACCAGGGTATGTAAGAACAGAGTTGAGACATTATATTGGCCAAGGTTACTGGGAGTTGCTGTCCAAGAGCTGCTAGAAGGCAGAGATTAAAATATGTAAATGTACACATATATGTGTGTGTGTGTGTATCTGGCTGTGTTTGTGTCCTTGTGTGTATCTGGCTGTGTTTGTGTCAGTGTGTGTATCTGGCTGTGTTTGTGTCAGTGTTTGTATCTGGCTGTGTTTGTCTGTGTGTCAGTGTTTCTGTGTGTATTATACCTGTGTATGTGTACTTGTGTGTCAGTGTGTATGTGTACCTGTGTGTGTGTGTGTGTGTGTGTGTGTGTGTGTATGCATGTATGTGTCAGTGTGTGTAAGTGTGCATCTGAGTGTGTGGTAATGCATACATCCCAGCATTTTAATGTCAACACAAATACACTCCATCTCTAGCACTGTACACATATACACCCCTGCATTTATACCTTTATGTATGTGTGTAGCTGAGTGTGTGTGTACATACCTGTGTCAGTGTGTGTGTGTGTACCTCTGTGTGTGGATGTGCCAGTGTGTGTGTGTATCAAAGTGCTTGTATCTGTGTGTCAAAGGGTGTGTTTCTGAGTGTGTGTGTGTATGTGCCAGTATGTGTCAAGGTGTGAGCCTGTGTCAGTGTGCCTATGTGTGTATCTGCGTGTTAATATGTATGTGTATTTGTGTTATAGAAATCACACAACATGCAAACAGAGCCCTGCAAACACAAACATTACATACAAACACACCAGTTTGCTGAAACACCAATACTACACACAAATGTACACAACACTACATCCAAATAACCCCCTGCATGCAAATACAAACATTACATACAAACACATTCCTGTATTAAAAGGCTAAAATTATATACAAACACCAACTCTACACACAAAAGTACACCTGCATTTAAAAGCCAACACTACAGACAATCACACATTACTGCATTCAAACGCAATCACTACACACAAGTACACCACTGCATTCCAATGGTAACAGTACATACAAATACACCCCTACATGCACACATACACTCTATACAATAACATGCTGACATTCATTTGCACAAACACTGCTCAAAAATACAACCCTGCAAGGATGGTAGATCCCCACCTGGTATAGCATCGCAGGAGTTGTATGACAGATGGGGATCTATCTTTTCTTTACTCTTGTGCTACAGGGCAGGCCTGAATTATTATTTTTTTGCACCAAGGCACTCTCTACATTAGTTTCGCCTCTAGGTTGGGGTGGAGGGAGTGACTGCATGCCCAGGGGGCCCAAGCAGATGCTTGCCCAAGCAGATGCTTGCCCAATCAATATTAAAGACGGCCCTGCTCACAATCCAGCACCAGCCACGAGCATCGAGACCCAGATTGAAGCCACATCTACTGCAAAATGCCAGGCTCACACTCCGGAGCCAAACAGAGCACCAAAAAAAAAGGGGATAGAAGGGAAACCGCCAGGACAGTGGCGAAATACTGACAGCACCTCGAGGCAGACAGGCCTCTCAAGATGGCCGCCAGCACAGCCCTCACGGCTCCCTATCCCCAGCATCCACAACGGGCAGTGACATACCCGAATTTCAAATGGGAGATACCCCACACATCCTAACAAAACTGACGGAGGTCAGAAATTTTCTAGCCAACAAAATCTTCAACAGTACAAAAGAAGTAAAGGCGGAAATTCAAGCGCTGGGTGCGCGGACGGCGGCCCTAGAAGATAAAATGGAGCAAGTCACACGCACCCACAACACGGTGGTGACACACTCCAGGACCATGGGACAACAAATTGCAGACCTGGAAATGATGGTAGAAGACCTAGCCAACTGCTCTAGGCGCAATAATGTGAGGCTTCGGGGACTCCCCAAATCTCCTAACGAGGGGGACCTGGTAGACACTTCCCGGGGTAGTAGCTTTCTTTAAGCACCTAATTCCAGGTATTCCGGATGAACACTGTGCAATTGACCACACACATAGAGCGCTCCGAGCCTGCAGAACAGAAGGACAGGCCCCAAGGGATATCATCCTCCGCTTTCACTACAACTCCACAAAGGAAGCGGTAATTAAATATGCAAGAAATAAAGAGCTGACATACCAAGACGCAGCTATCAACTTATATCAGGACCTATCTCCAACCACCCTACAATGCAGACGAAACTGGAGGCCCCTGACGCTACTTCTACAGGAAAAGGAGATAAGGTACACCTGGGGACACCCCTTTAAATTAGTGGCCTTTAAGTCCGGAGCCACATACACGCTACTGCCGGGAGCGGACCCGAAGAAATTCCTCTGGAGCATCCAAGTGGAACCGCCACCAGGCTTCACCCTGACCCAGGAGACCTTCCCCGAGCTCAACACACTGCCCACAGAGTGGAACACCACCAAGGACACAGTGGGTTGCCACACATGAGGACCCAAGAGGGAGCTTCACACTCCCATACAGACTGCACAGTTCGCTGGCCTGGATTCAGGGTCAGGTAATACCCAGGGGGAAATGAAACGATCGCACAACAGGGGGTGACCTTACGGGGGGGTACTGAAGGTTTCCCCATAACTACACCAGCCAGGAAGCAACACACCGCTCCCACCCTCCCCCCCCCAAAAAAAAAAAAACACTAACAAAGGAAGGGAGAAAAATAAAAATTTATATAAGGTACCACAATAGACAGGCCTCGGGGGGGGAAACCAAACACAATAAAACAAAACAAACAAAATTAAAACACAAAATATGCATATAGGGACTCCAGCAAATGTTACCTGTTACG